AAAAATTAGCTGGGCCTGGTGGTACCCACCTGTAGTCCCAGCTACACAGGAGACTGAGGTGGAAGGATCTTGCCTAAGTCCAGGAAAGTCAAAGCTGCGGCGAGCTGTGATCATGCCACTGCCCTCCAGCCTGGGTGACAGAGTGAGACCCTGACTCAAAACAAAAAATGAACATGTCCTGCCCACACTGCTTTGGCAGAAGGAAAAGAAGAGCATTCTTCTTTTTTTTTTGAGTTAGAGTCTCACTCCATCGCCCAGGCTGGAGTGACATTCACAGCCACCCCAGCATCGACATGCTGGGCTCCGGCAATCCTTCCGCCTCAGCCTTCCAAGTAGCCGGAACTACAGGCATGCGGTACCACATCCGGCTAATTTTTTGATTTATTGTAGAGACGAGGTCTCACCATGTTGCCCAGGCTGGTCTCGAACCCGCGGGCTCAGGCAATCCTCTCGCCTCGGCCTCCCAAAGGGCTGGGATTACAGGCTTGAGACACCGCGCCCAGCCAGAACATTCTTGTAAGTGTTAGCTCACATTCATTTTCCTTGTCACTAGCAAATAGTTCCTGACAAGCAGTTCAAAAAGGCTTACCAAATGCCTTCGACCAACTTCCTCCTCCATCTTCCCAAGACAGTGGAAGGCTGTGGGAATAAAGTCATGTCCAGGGAAAGCCCACAGAGCCCTTAGCGCTGCCCAGGGCTCAGTGAGGCAATCAGGTGCGCCGCCCAGGCCTCAGGCTGCAAGCGGGGGAGGCGAATCTGGGCTCAGGACTTCAGAGGTGGCTCATGGAAAGGCCGGAGGACCAGGTTTGAGAAAGAAGAGGAGACAACGTGACTCTGGGACCTAAGAGCCGCGAGCTGCTTGTCAGTCTTTTCAGAGATCAGGACTGTCTGCAAAAACCACGACTCCATTTTCTTTCCTTTTTCTTTCTTTCTTTTCTTTTTTTATTTTTAAGTTGGGATCTCACTCTGTTGCCCTGGCTGTAGTGTAATGGCATGCCCACGGCTCAACACAGCCTCAGTCTTCTGGGCTCAGGCGATCCTTCCACCTTGGTTTCTCAAGTAGTTGGGACTACAGGCGTGTACTACCATGCCCAGTTCATTTTTTGTTTATTGTAAAGATGAGGTCTTGCTATGTTGCCCAGGCTGTTTTGAACTCTTGGGCTCAAGCAATCCTCCAGCATCTGCCTCCAAAAGTGCTAGGGTTACGGGTGTGAACCACCGCACCCAGCCCAGTTCCTTTTTTCCCACCCTTGCCTGAATCTAGCCAAGGTACAAAGTTCTAGAGAAAGAAAGGAAGCCAATTCGCCTACCCTGGGCCAAGGACCCTCCTTGGCTAGAAGGCAAAGTCACCTGACTAAAGTCCCACCAAGCTGCAGCCACCGGGAAGAAGTTATCACCAGATCACGGTATTGTCACCGTGAAATGGAAATGGATGCTGGATAACAGAGGTGGCATGTGACCACCACAGTAAGGATCTTTAGAAATAACAAACACAACACAAATTTTTAAATGTAACTATTATAGGATGCAGCAATGTCACTTCTGGAGATTTCCCCAAAGGAATAGAAAGAAAGCAGGTCTTGAGGAGATGTTTGCACACCCAGTTCAGAGCAGTATTATTCACAATAAGCAAGAGGTGCCAGCAGTCCATGTGTCTGTCAAAGGATGGAAGCATACACCAAATGCGGCCCATGTCTACAGCAGAGTCTTAAAAAGGAAGGACTTTCCAACATGTGCTACAATACAGATGAAACTTGAGGATGCCGCGCTAAGTGAAATAAGTCAGTCCACACACAAAGACTGCCCAAATCCACTTGTAGGAGGCATGCAGGGTGGTCAAAGTTACAGAAACAGAGAGCAGAATGGTGGTTGCCGGACTTGGGGAGGCGCCCTGGAGGGTTAGTGTTTAAAGGATGAAGGGTTTCAGGTTTGCAAGATGAAGATTGTTCTGGAAATCTGTTTCACAATGTGACTACATTTAGCATGACTGAACTTAGACAGGGGTGCCAAAAAAAGGTATCCACGTATTAAATATGATGTTTACTCAAAAGATGGCATTCACTGAATGAATGCTAGTGTCACCATGCAACAGGCAGGACAGACAAAGAAAATAGCGAAAGCACAGTTGAGCAAACATCATACTGCACATGGCCATCGTAATTTAATTCAATTTCAAAAAGTAATACATAGATAATATCACTTAAAGTATGTCCCCTTTTTGGGCACCCCATATTTAAAAACAGCTAGTGTGGTAAACTTCGTGTGGTTTTTTTTTTTACCACAACAAAAAATGTATAAATACCATAGATAACATCAGCCAGGCATGGTGGCTCATACTTGTAATCCCAGCACTTTGGGAGGCGGAGGCGAGTGGATGACTCAAGCCTGGGGGTTCGAGACCAGCCTGGGCAACATAGCAAGACTTTGCCTGTATTTTTAAATAAATAAATAAAGCTACAAGAAATAACACAACAGTAATCTAAAGGTGCTAACAGGGGCTTGTACACTCCAAGTTATTGACCAAGGTTTTAATTTCCTCAGGAAAAAAAATGGTATAATTGTATTACCTAACCACAAGGAAGTTATGGAGATTAAATGAGATAGCATCCATCTGGCTCACAGCACAATGCCTAGCACCTAACAAGGGCTTCACGAATATGCATATTTGGGCAAATATGGACCATTGTAAAGAACAAAAGGCATGTTTGAGGATAGAACTAGTGTGGTTCCATTTGCGTAAAAAGCAAAAAAGTATGTGTGTGTAAATATGTGTGAATAATGTAAATATACCTAAACAAGAAGGGGGGGAAATGTACCTTGAATTCTAACCTCAGTTCTCCTGAAGAAGCATTTTGGGATTTCAGTTGTAACATAAAGGGGAGATTTTGTTTATTGCTATAAGTAAAAACGCAAAACTATTTGTTTAATATCAAGCATGGTTTATACTTTTACTTGAGTAAGTAAAAATGTAGCTGAATGCAAATATTCATACACAAATAGGAGCTAAGCATACAACTTGGCATTTCTGCCTTCAAACTCCTTAAAATCCAATCAAATGCCTGCAGTCCCAGCTTCGTGGGAGGATAACTTGAGCCCGGGATTTCAAGAGCAGACTGGACAGCATATCAAGACCCCATTTCTACACAGTTTTTAAAAATTAGCTGGGCATGGTGGCATATGCCTGTAGTCCCATCTTCTTGGGAGGCTGAGGTGGAAGGATCGTCTGAGTCCAGAAGGTCCAGGCTGTGGCAGCCGTGGTGGTGCCACTGCACTCCAACCTGGGTGACAGAAAAAGACACACCCACGGACACGAGGAGCTAGTTCTGGGCAATGCAGTGGGGCCAGGCTGAGGACACTGAATGCCACGTAGAGAGCTTGGCTTTAGCTGCTGGGCCCCGGGGAGCGCATGTGCTCAGGGGAGTGACGTACGTAAATCAGCACCTTAGGAAGTGGCAGAGAGACTGGGGGCCGGGCTGGTGGAGAACGGTTCCATGTTCTCCAAGTGAGTTTATGGTGACCTCTGCTAAGGCAAGGGATTGCACCAGAAAGGAAAGTGCAGATGATCTTAGGTCACACTTAGGTGCCAGACATTGATCTGATATGCAAAATTATCTCCTTCTTTCTCTTTCCTTCCTCTCTCTCTCCTTTCTTTTTTCTCTCTCTTTCCTTCTTTCTTTCCTTTTTTCTTTCCTTTCTCTCTCTCTCTCTTTCTCTCTCTCCTTTCTTTCTCTCTCTCACTTTCCTTTTTCTCTTTTTCCTTTCTCTTTCTCTCTCTTTCCTTCTTTCTCTCTTTTTCCTTTCTCTCTTTCTCTCTTTCCTCCCTCCCTCCCTCCCTCCCCTCCTTCCTGCCTTTATTTTAGTCACAGGGTCTCACTGGGTCGCCCAGGCTGGAGTGCAGTGGTACAAACATTGCCCACTGTAGTCTCGAACTCCTGGGATCAAGAGAGCCTCCTACCCCAGTCTCCCAAGTAAGTTTGGGACCAGAGGCTCGCACTACCACACCAAACTAGTTTTAGTTTTTCAGAGATGGGATCTTGCTATGTGTCCCAGGATACTCTTAAACTCCTGGGCTCAAGCAATCCTCCTGCCTTGGCCTCCCAAAATGCTGAGATTGCAGACGTGAGCCACCACACCTGGCTGTATGTTCTATATTTATATATTTGCAACCTATGTGTATTATGTATTTAATTCATGTAATTCTCCTAACAGCCCTACAAAACAGATACCTTTATTCTCCTTTTCCAGAAAAGGAAACTGAGGCTAGAGATGTTGGGTGACACGGGTGACCGAGCTAAGAAGGGGTCACCCTACACTCAAGGGAGAACACGAAGAAAGAAGAGGTGGGACCCGGTGGCCCCCAGCGGGAAAGGGAGGAGGACAAGCCAAGTTCATAAGCCTGTGGGTTGGAGGGTGTCAAGCTTTAGGAAAGAAGAGAACTGAGAGCACGCCCAGGGACAGCAGGGCGATGGAGAAGCAAACAGATGCTCAACATCTGTCACTCTTAACCTGGTGGAGCAGGAGTCATGGCTGCTTTTAAGAAGGATAGGGCCGGGCACAGTGGCTCACATCATCCCAGCACTTTGGGAGGCCAAGGTGGGAGGATCGCTTAAGCCCAGAAGTGTGAGACCAGCCAAGCAACGTAGCAGACTTCATTTCTACAAAAAAACAAACCAAAAAAAATTAGCTGTGCATGGGGATGCGTGTCTACAGTCCCAGCTACTTGAGAGTCTGAGGCAGAAGGATCGCCTGACCCTAGTAGGTCGAGGCTGCAGTGAGTTGTGATTGTGCCACTGCACTCCAGTCTGGGTGACAAAAGGAGACTCCAACTCAAAAAAAAAGAAAGAAAAAGAAAAATCAGACAAGAGAAAGCCTTCTCAATTGAAAAAAATACACACTACAACCAAAACATGGCTGGCAATTTCCACAGATTTGTAAACTCCGGTTAAGTCTTGCCCTAAATATACCATGTAAATAATTCAGTAACAGACATTTCTATAGTAGAAATTTTTATTTCCATCCATAAAATAGATCACTAAATAGCTGAAAAAATTACATCTTATTTTAAAACATAGATTTTTAAAAATCATATTAGCTTCTCTTTAGCAAAATGCTTTCATTGTACGTATTTACAAGAAGATGCCATCCCTCAGGTCACAATTTTCTCTCCAGCCAGCCTGAGAAGGCCTTTGGATGCAGGTGGGCGCCCCAACCAAGTTGATGATCAGCTCTTCCTGTCTTGCACACAGGATGAGTTGATTTTACAAAATTCCCTTTGGAAACAAGAGGAGGTGCAGACAGCTTGTAGAGAAAAGTCCAGCTAAGCAGCAGTTGATAATATGTTTTCTTTTCATGATGAGATTAATCTCATTTTGGTAATCTACAGCCTGCTGAAGGTAGGTAGGGAATGATGCTCTTAAGATACATTGTTTCTCTATGTCTCTTCAACCTGAGTCTGTGGCGATGGCGGGTCCGAATCCAGCTCTCTGCTGAAAGGTCGCCTGTTCTGGTAGACAGAAGGGCGCTCGGAAACACGGCCACCGACATTCTGGTACATCTGAGTACAGAAAAGAGGCAGAACACTGATCACCATCTGATTTAGACATGCGTGTTCCCTGCCCACATTGTACATCATTTAAATACAAATGATTATTTTATGTAACAATTGCTTTTCACTTTTTTTTTTTTTTTGAGTTGGCCCAGACTGGAGTGTAGTAGCATGCTCCTGGCCACCACAGCCTTGACCTACTGGGCTCCAGCAGTCCTTCCACCTCAGCCTTCCAAGTAGCCAGAACTACAGGCTCACGCTACCACACCCGGCTAATTTTTTATGTAATGTAGAGACACGATCTCGCCAAGTTGCCCGGGTTGGTCTCGAACCCGCAGGCTCAGGCAATCCACTTGCCTCAGCCTCCCAAAGTGCTGGGATTACAGGCTGAGCCACTGAACCTGGCACTTGTTTTTATTGATACAAAATAGATGTACATATTTTCAGGTTACACATGTAGACAACTGCTTTCTTATGCATAGTGTTAGGAAGTATTGCACATATTCATTGACAAAGCAGTTGTGGTCCTTTTATGAATGAAGAAATCACATCGTAGTCAAATATTTTGTTTCACTATTGATTCTACTCTTAGATACAAAATGTCACTCTAGAAATCCTAAAATCATGCAGAAAAATTATAAAAGGAAAAGGCCTGGCCAAGCATGGCGGCTCACACCTATAATCCCAAGAACTTTGAGAAGGCAAGGTGGGAGACATTGCTTGAGGCTAGGAGTTTGAAACCAGCCTGGACAACATAGGGAGACCCCATCTCCATAAAAATACAAAAAAAAAAAAAAAAAAAAGTAGCCAGCCATGGTGGTGCACACCCTTAGTATTCAGGAGGATGAGGCAGAAGGATCACTTGAGGCCAGGAGTTCAAGGTTACAGTGCGCTACAGTCATATCACTGCACTCAAACCTGGGTGACAGAGTGAGCTCTTGTCTTGTCTCTAAAAAAATAAAGAAAAAGGCCACAAATCTAATCTGTTCATTATGGGTTTAATACAGGGGAATGATCCTTGAATCTTTACTTGGTAGTTTTGTGGCCTTAAAGTTTTTTTCCAAAATGAAAAAAGGTGTTACTTCTTTTTTCTGATTATGAAATTAGCACACATTCACACAGATCATTTAAGCAATACAGAAAGGAATACAGAAAAAAGCTAAAACCACCAGAAGTGACCACCATTATAGACAGCTTGCCATGCACACACAATTTGGTATTCATAGGTTCAGACTGTCAATCTTGGTTTAAAACCTTATTTTTGAGTTAGTAATATATTGTTACTATACAAGGGGGAGCCCCCCAATACAATTTATTTATTAAAAAAATTATTGTAGCTGGGCACGGTAGTGCACGCCTATAGTTCTGGCTACTTGGAAGGCTGAGGTGGAAGGATCACCGGAGCTCAGCAGGTTGACGCTGGGGTGGCCGTGAGCGTGTCACTGCACTCCAGCCTGGGTGGACAGAGTGAGACTCCAGTTCAAAAAAAAAAATTGTGTATTTATTCTCACATGTTTCAACTTCAGTCACCTTCAAAGTACTCTCCGTCTGATGCAATACACCAATCAAGATGCCTTCTCCACTGCTCAAAACAGTTTTGAACTCCTTCGTCTTGATGCATTGGAGTGCTTCTGCCGTGTTTGGTTTCACCTCTTCCACATTGTCAAAACGTTTCCCTTTGTGGACTTTTTTCATCCAGGAAACAAAAAAACACGGCAAGATCTGGAGATTAGGGAGGGTGGGGCATGGGGTCATGCCGTGTTTTTTGGTCAAAAACGGCTGAACCCTCGGTGCTTTGTGGACAGGTGCGTTGTCACAGTGGAAGAACCAGTCGCCTGTTTGCTACAACTCAGGACGTTTTCTTCTGCACACTGTGATGCACACCGTGATGCAACCTTCTCAAAACTTCCAGATAAACACTTTGGTTGACCGCTCGATCCGGAGGAACAAATTTCGAGAGTACTACAAGAGGCCCACACTCCAAAAGATAACTGCAGGTTTTTGGGGTCCCCCCCTTACTGTTCATAAGTTACATGTGTGTATTTTCATTATTCTCTGAGTATGGCCACTTTTCCCCCCCATGGCAGTCTACGGACGGTGATACTGATGAGCTTTAATTAACCTGGGGGACTAGCTGTATAATACAAACTGAAAAAGCACAACTGATCCAGTCTTACCCCGGGATAGGTCGGGGAAGTGGAATTGCTGGGTCGAAGAGAACACTCCATGAATGGTGACACCCAGGTCCAGGCTGCCCTGCAGGGAGGTTGTCCTTATTTCTGGTCCTCTCAACTGTGTCTGGGAAATCTATTCTCACCAGAGCTCTCCCAATAGCGGATACTAACAGTTTTTCCCATCTCTGCCCCTTCATGGAGTCACAAGTGTTATCTCCTTACCTGCATATGATCAGCAAACTGGAGCATCTTTCTCTACATTTAACAGTCATTTGCATTTTATTGTGAATAGCTTGGTTATTTCCTTTGCTTTTTATATACATAAAGGGTTATATGAGGGAGGACCCAAAAAACCCCAGAATTATTCTTTGGAGAGCAGGCTCCTTGAAGGAACAGGCTTTTCCCACTAGGTAAGCGTTCTAGGAACCCATGGGTATCCGTGGACCAACTAACATTGTTGGGAGAAGCTGTCTGTGTTCAGCCTCAGTGAAAATTTTTTTTGCAGTTTTTTCAACGCGTTTACCTGTTTCTTTCTTTCTTTTTTATTTTAAAGATGTGGGGTACAATTCAGGGTTAGGTATACAAATGGTCATTGTGCAGGTAAAGTTTGGGCCTCACTTTGGTCCCCACATCACCTGGTTTGAGATCAGGTACGCTTATTGATAAAGTATCTCCCCCTACTCCCTGCTCCCTCCCCTGGCAGTTTCCCACTACTGTCAATCCCTTTCTTACAGTGTTATAATAATTGTTCAGGGTCTGCTTATGAGTGAGAACATGTGGTACTCAGTTCTTTGTTTCTGTGATAGATCACTGAGTATTACTGACTCCAAATCCATCAAAGTTGCTGCAAGGTTCATAATTTTGTCCTTCTTTATGGCTGTGTAATATTCCATCATGTATATGTACCACATTTTTTTAATCCAATCTACTTTCGATGAGCCTGTTTCTTGATGGGCAATTTACAAGTGCACCTGCACACACCGCACAGAGTGTTCAGCAGTTTTTAAACAAAAACGTCATGACCCCTGTGCCCCACCCTCCTTACTCACCTGATCTCACTCTGATCAACATTTTTTTGGTTCCCCAGATGAAAAAAGTCCTCAAAGGGAAATATTTTGCTGATGTGGAAGAGGTGAAACAAAAAATGACAGAAGCACTAAAAGGTACCAAAATGGACGAGTTCAGAAACGATTTCGAGCAGTGGAAAAAGCATCTCAATAGGTGTACTGCACATCAGACAGAGAGTACTTTGAAGGTGATTGAAGTTTAAACTTATAAGAATAAATACACTTTTTAAAGAAGTAAATCCCAAGTTTTGGGGGGGGTCTTCCCTGTATATGTCTTTGCTATTACTTCTAAGATCTTGGCAGATAAATTTAGGAATTCTGTGTTCTGTTTATTTAAATTTTATAGACTCTATTGTCCTACTTCTTTTATAGTGGTTGGTTTGGTTTTAGAGTCAGGGTCTTGCTCTGTCACCCAGGCTGGAGTGCAGTGGCACAATCATAGTTCACTGCAGCCTCAAACTCCTGGGATCTTCCTGTAGTCTTCTTACCTCAGACTTTTGAATAGCTAGAAGTACAGGTGCACACCACCACACCTGGCTTGTGTGTGTGTGTGTGTGTGTGTGTGTGTGTGTGTGTGTGTGTGTGTGTGTAGAGGCAGGGTTTCACTACGTTGCTCAAGCTGGCCTCGAACTCCTGGCCTCACACGATCCTCCCACCTTAGCCTCCCCAAAGTGCTGGGATTACAGATGTGAGCCATGCTCAGGCTTCTTTTATAGTGTTATAACAGTTACAGTGCTAACCGCCTAGACTGTCTCCTACTCTTCCTCTTTTCTCTCTAGAAAACTAAAAAATGATATACGGGATGCCAAAAAAATGTATACACGTTTTAATTATGACGTGCGCACAAAAGATGGCGTTCATCAAATGAATGCTAGCGTCACCATGCGACAGGCAGGACAGTCACAGAAAATGGCGGAAACATGGTTGAGTGATCGTCATACTGCACATTGCTACTGTAATTTATTTATTTTATTTGTTTTTTTTTTTTAAATGGGAGTCTCACTCTGTCGCCCAGACTGGATTCAGCCGATCCAACAGGCCCAGCCTCGACCTGCTGGGCTCCAGTGATCCTTCTACCTCAGCCTTCCAAGTAGCCGGAACTACAGGCGAGCGTTACCTCGCCTGGCTAATTTTTGATTTATTGTAGAGATGAGGTCTCACCAAGTTGCTCAGGCAGGTCTCGAACCTGCGGTCTCAGGCAATCCACTCACCTCAGCCTCCCAAAGTGCTGGGATCACGGGCTGAGCCATCGAGCCCGGCCTGCTACCGTAATTTAATTCGGCTTTGAAAAGTAATACATAGATCACATCTCTTAAAACGTGTATCCAGCTGGGCTCGGTGGCTCAGCCTGTAATCCCGCGACTTTGGGAGGCTTAGGTGAGTGGATTGCCTGAGCCCGCGGGTTTGAGACCCACCTGGGCAGTGAGACCTCCTCTCTACAATAAATAAAAAAATCAGCCGGGCGTGGTAGCACGTGCCTGTAATTCCGGCTACTTGGAAGGCTGAGGCGGAAGGATCGCTGGAGCCCAGCAGGTTGAGGCTGCGGTGGCCGGGAGTGGCCACTGCACTCCAGTCTGGGCGACAGAGTGAGACTTCAACTCAAAAAAAAAACCACACACACAAAAAGTGTATATTTTTTTGGCACTCCCGTTTATCCATTGACCCTACATGCCTCTATCTGAAGCTGAGGCACCACGACAGCCATGCCTGTCCCTGAGCCACGAACGAGAGCACCTCCCGCATGTGTTGTGTGAAGGACACAGCAGTG